AAGATCTTAATACTTCACAAACTAAGCCAAGAAATACTAACTAGTTGAAAATCCAAATCTAAATAGCCCAGGTCTTTTTGAAAGAGAAATCTGAATCTATCTGTTGTTCCTAGTAACGGGGCTGGTTTTCAAAATTAATGGACCAGGAAGCCACACCTAGCTCTGACCAGCGTTGTTGTTTTTACTCCCATATTCCACTGACGTTTGCGTTCCTGCATTCCTGTCTTCAATTCTTTTTTTTCTTTAATTTTTTATTGTTATGCTAATCACCATACATTACATCATTAGTTTCCTGTCTTCAATTCTTAAGATGAAGATTGTACTTGACACATTAGTACAGCCAGAAAAATAGCTGAGGCACTTAAGTTTCTTGAGTACATTTTCCTTATTACGTAGCAGATAGTTTGCTGCATGTGTTGAACTGTAGGTAAGGAAAAGGCCCACTGTAATTAGGAAAACCTTGGATAAAATTAGGTACGCTTTCTAAAAGCCCCTGAAACCGGGCGCCTGGGTAGCTCAGTTGGTTAAGCGACTGCCTTCGGCTCAGGTCATGATCCTGGAGTCCTGGGATCGAGTCCCGCATCGGGCTCCCTGCTTGGCAGGGAGTCTGCTTCTCCCTCGGACCCTCCTTCCTCTCGTGCTCTCTCTCTCACTCTCTCTTGAATAAATAAAAAAATCTTAAAAAAAAAAAAGAAACTTACCCAAAGTTACATAGATAGTAGGTCTGACTTTCTTTAATGCAAATATTCTTTTTTTTTTTTTTTTAAGATTTTATTTATTTAGGAGCACCTGGGTGGCTCAATCGTTAAGCGTCTGCCTTCGGCTCAGGTCATGATCCCAGGGTCCTGGGTTTGAGCCTCTCATCGGTCTCCCTGCTCCGTGGGAAGCCTGCTTCTCCCTCTCCCACTCCCCCTGCTTGTGTTCCCTCTCTCACTGTGTCTCTCTGTCAAATAAATAAATAAAGTCTTAAAAAAAAAGATTTTATTTATTTATTCATTAGAGACAGAGAGAGAGAGAGAGAGGCAGAGGCAGAGGGAGAAGCAGGCTCCCTGCTCAGCGGGGAGTCTGCTTCTCCCTCTGACCCTCTTCCCTCTTGTGCTTTCTATGTCTCATTCTCTCTCTCAAATAAATAAGTAAAATCTTTAAAAAAAAAAAAAGCCCCTGAAACCTAGGCAGTCCGGGAGTCTGTAAAGAAGTAGACACATATTTGGGTGATTATTCTGACCAAATTTCCACTCCTGTTCCAAGATGATTTCTTTGTTCCTTGCCACCATGGAAACCTCTGAAAATCGTAAGTGCTTTGAAAACAAGTGTTACGTTGGTCAGTCAGAGGGATTAAGAATAGCATTTTCAGGGGCACCTGGATGGCTCAGCTGGTTAAGTGTCTGCTTTCAGCTCAGGTGGTGATCCCTGGGTCCTGGGATCGAGCCCCGTGTTGGGTTCCCTGCTCAGTGGGGAGCCTGCTTCTCCATCTCCCTCTGTCCTTCCACCCCGCTCATTCTCTCTCTGTCTCTCTCTCTCAAATAAATAAAATCTTAAAAAAAAAAAGAATAGCATTTTTGGCAATAGTTCGTGTGTATGTTAATAAATTTAGTATATTCTCTGTAAAGTATAATGACTTTACAAAGGGACTATTTTAAATATGAAATCAATCAATAAATTCACATAGATTTTAGGAATGGAAATAAAGGGTTTATATCTTTGCTGGCTTGGCTTCATTTTTTTAATGTCTCTGGGAACGGAAAATTAAGCTGTTGGAATATACAGATTTTTCCTTCTACTTCCAGGTAACTATAAACACATCTAATGGGTTTTAGAGAAAGCAATTTTGGAAGGATCAGAATGAGTTTTGAAAAGTTCAAGTCCAGGGATGCCTGGGTGGCTCAATCGGTTAAGCGTCTGCCTTAGGCTCAGGTCATGATCCCAGGGTCCTGGGCTTGAGTCCCGCATCAGGCTTCTTGCTCAGTGGGGAGCCTGCTTCTCCCCCTGCCTGCCACACCCTCTGCTTGTGCTTGCTCTCTCGCGGGCGTACTCTCTCTCTCTCTCTGACAAATAAAAAAAAAAGTTCAAGTCCAAAGACGCCACTTTGTAAAATCCACTGAGTAGAAAGAAAGGACGCTTCTATTCTAACTCTCTTGAACATGAAGATAGTTATTGTTATGGTGAGGTTGGAATGCTCGGCTAAGGCCTCCTGAGCTCTATAATAGGAATCTCCTCCCTCTACAGTCTCCCCAAAGTAAGATCCTCCTTCACCACCCACCTC